GTTATGAAATTGATATGTTGTTGTATTTCATTGATACTGTTTGTTTTACATTACGTTAGGGTATTAAAGTACAAGAATGTTAGACGTCGTTGTGGCATTGCATCCGCTCTGCAGCATGATCCGTAGTATTTGCACCTTGCTCGCATTGCATCATGGAGCTGCATGCAGTTCATGGCCTCGCGTGCCCTAGCGTTTTCCCGCGTGCTTCCTTCCCGTGCGTCGGAGTACAGGGCTGTCGCGCACGCCCTCGTTGGTTCAAAGTCGGGACACAGAAGTGGAGCAGCGGATGTATTACACTGCGCGCAATGCGATCCTTCCTGAGGGTCTCGGCCCGTGGAGAATGAACAATGTTGGTGCAGGCAGTACACGGCCCGCATGGGTAAGACTACAAAGCTCAGCGCGCCCCCAACATCATAGTTGGAATGATGGTAGGGCAGGTGGCTCCCGTAGCTCACGTCAAGGGCGAGTAGCTTGTAGGCCTGCTGTCCTCGCTAGGTCGATGGAAAGTCTTGTATTCGGCGTATTCGTCACCTTCTTCAGCAAGATACAATCCATCGTCCGGGAGCCAGCTTCGCGAATCGTGCGTAGCTCGGGTTGCCGTGGTCATTGTAGAAGCCCGCGCGGAGGCTCGACGTGGGGCTGTTGGTGGTATAGGAGACTGCTGTCGCGGAGGGGTATAAACAGTTGGTGATAAATGAAAGTTCGGGTTCGTAGGACTGGGTAGTACCGTTGAACTTGGATGTAAAAGCAACCCTGATGCAGCAGGAGGTGCACCAGGTGAAAGTGGTTCTGGAATAAGACTCGAGTGTAGCATGGCGGACTGCGCCTTCTTTGGAGAAAGAGAAAGTGGTTTAGGGAATGTAGATTCTGTTGGTGTTCGCGCAGGGTTGCGCGAAGGAACGGTGGGTGTGTTCGGCTCGCCATTTGGTTGATCGCCTATAATATCCTGGTACCAGTCGTAGGAACGAAAGCTGAAGCTTGGGCTTGGAGGTGGCAAGTCGGGTAATGGAAGTTGAGGGGGCTTGCTCTCCAGTTTAGAAAGAGTCTCTCTAACAGGGGAGGGTGGTTCGGAATCACCTCCGTTCGAACTGCCGTCGGCTATCGAGACACTGTCGACAGAGTGTCTTTTGTTCGGTAATTGGCTAAGTTCGTATTCCGAGTTTCGCTTTTCCGCGGTAGGCGTGGCATGCGAGATGGATATCGATGGAGGAGCGGCTGTAGGCGGGATGTATTCCTCAAACTTGTATCGTGGCGCACGATCCCGGGTGGGAGTACCACTGCGAGGAGTATCATTACCCCGAAGCGAACTGACGGCATTAATCAACTCATCATCGAGTATCATGCTCTTGTTGATATTGACATTGACAGCATACGACTTTGCTTTCGTTGGCGGTGGAGGAAGGGGATGTTCCATGAGCGGATGAGGTGTTGGACGAGGTGGCAGTGCCTTTTCTGTTGAGCTTCGTGCGTGCTTCTCCATAGATCCTGACCTCTTGTTGTCCGGTTTCTCCTTCTTCTCATTGAATGCAAGAGCCCTGGCAAATAGCCCTGGGTTCATGGTCTGTTGTTGACTGAAGGCTGCGTTCTGGGGACTGTTTGGTAGTGATGCTACCAAGGTCCTCTGATCTGTGGCATTCGAGGCAGACCTTTGGCGAGTGTGTGAAGGCGCTTCGATCGTATGGGTGCGTGGCCGTCTTGCTCGAACCCTCCAGAACCAGTAACCAGCTGCAATCATCAACACCACCATTCCCACAACTCCTACACCGATGCCAATAGCCGACCCTGGAGTTAGTCGCGAAGTTGGCTCTGCGCCCGACCCGCCAAGCGGTGCAGCACCGCCCATGGTAACACATCTTGCGCTCGAGCATGCTTTGCCGCTTGCGCAGTCGCTATCTGTAGAGCATGTCTCGGTGGGTCCCTTGGAAGTGTCCACGAGGCTTGGCTGATTGAATGAGTTGGTTACGCTGGGAACGGGAGCATTCGTTCCAAGTTGGATGAAGGAGAAGTCTGATGCCAAGTTGGTAGGTAGTGCGGTTGGTGACGATGAGGCAATGCGTAATGATGTAGAAGTTGCGCTCGGTTTCCGTTGTTTGGTAGATGTACCAGTCGCTCTTTGTGACGAAGTGGATGTAGCCGGCGCTCTTCGCGATGAGGTAGATGTAGTGCTTTGTGGTCGTCGGCGGGTAGTAATGAGTGTGGTAGACATTATTATTAAAGATTGTGTTGAAGCTGGTTATACTAACAAGGAGTGAGTGAACGACGCCGCGCCGATGCCTCAGCCACTTCGTCAGGATGCGCAGGCTTCTTTATGTGATACACCAAGTTCTCCGAAAAGAAAGCATATAGAACGAATGTAGTGTGTATGAAGGATAGTAGTAGGTGCTCACAAAGTCACGAAGATCCGCGATCGACAGAGTCCTTGCGACACAACATCGCCATGCAGGGCGGCACGGGTTAGACCATATCTTGTAGGGTCCGGCAGAAGAGCGTGGAGCTAAAGTTTATTGACGATGCACGCACGGTGCGGGCGATCCACGTTCGGTTGGAGGTTTGACGATCCTTAGTGCGCAACCCAACGTCGCACCCGTCAAACCTTGTCCCCAAACATTGCTTTTGCCGCGACAGTTGACAGTGTGTGTGTGAGCAATAAAGGTATATCACGACGGCGGAAAATACCGTCGTGCTAATCGAGAGAAACTGACCCCCCAGCTCCTGTTGCGCCCAGTATTGAGTACGTTGCGATAACTGCTGTTAGTTCCCCTGTCTACTACCAACATAGCCGGATTCGGCAGCCGTAAAAGCACCGTAGGGGCCCGAGTCAGGATGTTCACGGGTGCGCATCCAAATGTGGTACCAACTCGTTTCAGGGGCACGGAAATGGTACCTGCATATACTATTTTCTGCCTGCAAGCCATCCCACTACGTCTTTCGCGCTGCTGTCGGGAGGGAAAACAGGGTACCAGACTTTCACGATGACTGCGTCTTCGATCGCGAGGGCGCATCTCTTAATCAGTGTCTTATCTTGCCATTTCAAAGTGGGTAGTTTCAGGGCATTGGCAAAGTGTAGGTTCTCGTCCGAAAGCAGTTCGTAGGGTAAATGCAGCCGGTCCTTGGCCTCTTTTTGGTAGGCAGTGTCCTGAGTCGACAATCCAAATACACGCTGTGCGCCGAGGTCGCGTAGTTTGGCCATCTCGTCGCGGAAGCTGCACGCCTGAGGTGTGCAGCCTCGTGCTCCTGGTATGGAGTTCCAATCTTCAGTGATTGTTTCACCAGGCGCACCGGTACGCGGATAGCAGAAGACGATTGTCAGGCCCGGATAAATTGAGACATCAAGCCAGTCTCCTGACGTTGCGGACAAGGATACGGAAGGTATCTGTGTTCCTCTCAAGTGCGAACACGCGCCGTCATCCTGAGGGACAGGTAGGTCCGAAGGGAAGGATGTGTCTGTGCTCGTCAGCACTCGGTCTTGTGAGTATCTGTGCCACTAACGAGCCATGTTGACCGCCGGCCGTCGGTACCGAAGTGTCGTCAAGTTACTCTTGCCTGGCTCATGCGCTACTCACAACGTGCGCTTCGGTCGCCGTCAAGTTGGTGCGTAGGGGACTGTCTATGAGTTGGTAGAGGGTTGACCCTGATGCCCTGAATCGACCTTGCACGAGCGGGGTTCGCAATGACTTTTCAACAAAATCGCGACGATCCAAAGTCTAAAATCAGATCGCTGTGAGAAATCGTGATACGACTGAGCCAGCCTTGAGCTTTTGCTTTGCTGTCTGATGTGGGTGTATGGTGGTGGTGTTGTCGGCAATGGCAGACAGTGACTGGTGGTGAGAAGGGTCGGTGGCGGGGCGAAGGCTTGAAAAGCATTGAACAAAGGTTCAGGTCTACTGCAAGATATTGCTTTGCTGTCAGAACTACTGGTTGGTACTGCACTAACAGACCGCGGGGTAAGAGGCCAATGTCACCGGATTGGAGCGTCCCGCGTATGTTTGCTTTGGGATCTGCCAAACTAGAGCATGTGCTTAGTTGATGTTTGGTAGGTGGCGGTTACGCGGAGGGTAGCCGCGTCCCGCGTCCCGATTCCCTTATTCTGGCATCACGAGATTTCATAGCAGAGGTTTATAGTTGCGACTGCACATGCGAGGGCGGAAGTTTCCATGCAGAGGGGAGCGAAGACAATTGTTCGGACCCTGGATCTAAGCCATCAGCAAGTCTGGCTTGATGTGTATCGTAGCCATGCTACGTAATCTCAGTTGCTTCTTGCACGTCATTTCGCTTATACGAACCAAGATTTGTCTATTTCTCGGCGTTTGACTTGGACGTACATATTCTTGTCACATTATGTTTCCCACGGAATACTGCAATGAAGCTTAAGTTCTCCAGTCGTGCAGTGGTTACCAGGTCAACAGTATGCAACAGCAGGAGGGCCACACTCACTCTAAGCATGATACGGGCATCATAAGGACCCAATGGGCTCTAAAGCGCTGCAGTTCTACTGCATTGAACATGCAAATGTTCGCATGTACAGGGAACGTTGACAGTTGCCAGGTTGAAAGCACCACCCCATTGCCGCAACATCTCAACATCTGCTTCCTACAGAAGGTGATAAAATATCCTGAAGCTACGCGTAAATTGTGTCTTCCCTTGAACGTATTTGCATGCTCATGTAAACTGCAACGCGGGTGTCCAGTTTGTTTATTTTGTACATAGCAAGGTGACACCACATTGCAGTGATGCCGACCGAAGTGGGGTCGCGATCGGCGCTACAGCTTCTGGAGCTCCTCCACGTCCAATCGTGACATCATTAAATCTAAGTAATGCGCCTGTCATCATTGGCCAACTGGCAGCTGTCGCGCTCATAGACAGCCCTTCACTCTTCACCTCTCTTTACAACATTAATGCAGTCACTACGTATTCTACGACCCTTACGAACCTCACTCAAGCTCCAATTCAGCCCCACCAGTCGTCTACAAAGAGCTCCGTTTACGTCAACAACCGCAGCTATGGCTCAAGAATTCAAGCTCAAGGATGTCACTTCCTTACAAATGAAGAATGGAGACAAGAAGGAGGTCGAAGTTGAGGGTGTTGAGGGAGGAAAGGTGCTCCTGTTGAAGATCCAGGACCAGGTGCATGCTACCAGTGCCAACTGCACACATTACGGCGCGCCTTTAGTGAAGGGCGTATTGACACCAGAGGGTCGTTTGACATGCCCATGGCACGGAGGTAATATCCGTATGCTACCTGTGTCGCATGCTCAAGACTAACATTCATAGCCTGCTTCAAGGTCTCGACCGGAGATGTTGAAGACGCACCTGCCCTCGACCCCATCGCGAAGTACGAAGTAGTCGAGAAGGACGGCGCTGTATACGTTAAAACCACCGAAGACGCATTGAAGGCCAACCGCAAATTCCTGAACATCAAGTGCTCATCAGTGAGCGAGGACAAGGTCCTGGTCATTGGTGGTGGCTCGGGTACTCTTGGTGCCATTGAAGGTCTAAGAGGCGGCGGATACAATGGCAAGATCACCGTGATCTCCAAGGAAGGCTACCAGCCCATTGACCGAACCAAGTTGTCCAAGGCGCTGCTGGCTGACATCTCCAAGGCGGCCTGGAGGTCAAAAGAGTTCTACAAGGACGCGTCGATTGACATTATCGAAGACGAGGCGAAGAGCGTAGACTTCTCTGGCAAGAAGGTGTCCACAAAGTCTGGAAAGGAGTACGAATACACAAAGCTGGTGTTGGCGACTGGTGGCACACCAAGGTGGCTGCCACTTGACGGTCTCAAGGGCGACCTGGGGAACGTCTTCCTTCTCCGCACTCTGCCCGATGCACAGAACATCCTCAAGGCTGTTGGGGACAACGGTAAGAAGGTCGTGGTCGTTGGCAGCTCGTTCATCGGTATGGAGGTCGGCAACTGCCTTGCTAGCATGAAGAACGATGTGACCATCATTGGTATGGAAGAGGGTAAGTAATCCGTCTGCTCTCGTTGATGGTAGTCTAACGCTATCGCAGAACCAATGGAGCGTGTAATGGGAAAGAAGGTTGGTGGCATCTTCCGCGGTCTGCTCGAGAAGAACGGCGTCAAGTTCAAGATGGGCGCCAGTGTTGAGAAGGCCACTCCTTCCAAGAGCGATTCATCCAAGGTCGGTGCTGTGCATCTCAAAGACGGAACCACACTGGAGGCAGACCTCGTCATCGAAGGTGTCGGTGTCGCGCCCGCGACCGAATACCTCAAGGACAACTCAAGCGTTACGCTGGAGAAGGACGGATCATTGAAGACAGACGAGTCCTTTGCCGTCAGTGGCCTGAAGGATGTGTATGCCATCGGTGACATCGCAACATACCCCTACCACGGACCAGGAGGCAACGGCACACCAGTTCGCATCGAGCACTGGAACGTCGCACAAAACGCCGGTCGCTCTGTAGCCAACACCATCAACAACCCAGGATCCAAAGCAAAGCCCTTCATTCCCGTCTTTTGGTCGGCCTTGGGCTCGCAGCTGCGATACTGCGGTAACACGGTGGGTGGCTACGACGACGTGATCCTTCAGGGCGAGCCAGAGAAGCCGTCGTTTGTCGCGTACTACACCCAAGGCGAGACAGTGGTGGCCGTCGCGAGTATGATGAAGGATCCCTACATGACACAGGCAGCAGAGCTCATGCGTAGGAACAAGATGCCCGGTAAGAGCGAGCTGCAGAAGGGCGTTGACATCCTGGAGGTCGGTCTGCCGAACGAGATTAAGATGTGAAGTGGCATGACTGCAGAAGAATAACCGTAGTGAACCACCAAACAATGAAATTACGCAGAGGGCATGTCACCAGTTGGTGTAACCTACTTGTGGGTTCTCAATGCAAAGTGTACTAGTTGCAAAGTTCTAGGCCCCTAGTCCACGTGATTCTCACTTACACTCATGGTGTCCCCCGTAACTTCCTACTAACTCCGCAGCTTCCGGATCTACATTCCATCTCATTCTGTCATAAACGTGCGCATGACCAAGTATTACAGCGACACGACGAGGGTAGACCCGTCTGATCAGTGCTGTCACAATCTGTTCAATAACGTCCGAAGCAGTAGTTCCTCAACATTGACCCGACATGCGTCTCAATCTGAACATTACGTAGGAAACGGCAATCTAGAGCTGACGTTGAAAGATGGTTGAACTCAATGTAAGGTGAGAAGAGACGAATATGCCCGACTCGAACAGCGGATCCATGCTCGCGGGGTACGACCGTTGCAGTATGGAGATATGCTCCGCAAGATGTGCCGCAGGGCGGTGGAAAGGAAATGAAGCGTGCAGCAGGCATTTTCCCAAAGTGACGTCAAGCCGGACGGCAGAGGCTCGTGTTGCACAGCGCGAGGGCATCTGGAGATGGCGCAAGAGTCGAGTAACGGTGGGAGCGGGAAGGTGGGTCCGCTGGTTGCACGGCAAGGGCGATCGAGGCGCCAAACATCTAATTTCCAATGTTCCGAAGAGCGGCCTAACGCTCGCCCAAAGGGGAAAATTATACAGAGCAGACGGCGCGACTCGGACTGGAAGGTTATCTTGCCTCGTTCTGCATGTAGAGAAAATGATGTGCTCAGACTGAGCTGCAGACGCAGAGATGGATGTCGGTCAATATGTCTGTCGGCGGCTTCTTCTCATTGGACGCGCTGGCGAGGAATGCAAAGACATGCAGGGCAAGCCTCCCTTACGGCGTGGACGGCTGAGACATGGTGACAGCGGTTTGGTCGACCTGTCTTGTTGCGAACCTCCGTCTTTGCTGCTACACGCGTGGATGTCCTTGCTGTGGATTGTCAGATGAAGTTAGGGGGCGTCATCTGGGCTTATTTGTGCTGCCCATCCCGGCAGGGCGCGTCATAACGTTCTGCGACAAAGTTGGGCGTGTTGTTGATGTTTATGTGTTGCTTTTGCTCTTGGACGCGACCCGCGGTGAGCACGCGCAGAGCGACCTCGACAGCGACGGTCATACGGATGGGTAGATGACAGGAATGGATCACGCATGTCTCGCAGCAGGCGCGCGGTCAAGCGACATTCAAGGAGCCGGCGACGTCTATATCGAGGGCCAGCCCAAGATATCGCAGCAGCGCACACGGCGGGCGAGCGCATAACAGGCAATTTGCGGGCGGGTCGGTGCTGTGTGAAACAACGACCCATGGCTGCTACTCCTATTCGAGCGGCGGCGTGCAGACAGGCGCGTCGAGCGCAGACATCGAGGGCGTGGTGAAGGGCGTTGTTCGGGCGTGCGTGTTAGAGGAGGCGCTGGGAGTGCCTGGCTAGCTGTAGGCGTGAGTAATTATCGCATCTAGCAGACCAGTGCCCGCGTCCTTGCTTTGGCGGGCTGGTTTATGCCGAGCCCATGTCGATGATGTGCATCTGCCTCCTTTCCCAAGCCACAGCCTTTACCGAAATTGCCGTCAAGACCAACCTCAGCCGCGCCTTCTCTTCTCTCCACTCACGTCAATCAACACGTCGAGGTCGAGCAGCTTCTCGCCGCGACCGTTAGATAGCCGACGCGCTGCCACCGGCGCCGACTCGCACGACGGCCGCCCTTTGTGCACCCCCTCTGCACGCTCGCTGCCCACGCTGCACCTGCACGCGCATGTGAAGCTATCTAGTCTGTCGCGTCCCAATTGCTCCCAGGCCAAGGTTCAGACACACCGCACCGCCGCGGCTCCGATTTGGCCACTCTCCCCGCCAAAGCCCATTCGACAGCTCAACACCGCCAGTTGACGTTCCGCCCACAAATACTGCCAGCGCAGCTTAGGACCGATAACATAGCGCACCACCCCCCAGGCCCTGCACCCAACTCGCCGTCCCCAGATCATGGCCGCAGTGGCATCGCAGCCGCCGCATGGTCAGCAGCAGCAGTACTACCAGCAGCAACCGCCCGCCGCAGCCTCGCCCGGCACCGCTCGCCGCCCGACGTCGCGACGGCCCAGTAATGGCGCGTCGCCCAACACGCCTACCTCCCAGAACTCTCCCCCGATGAACACCGCGCCCACCACCAACGGCAACGGCAGCGGGCCCATGGCGCCCCCCAGGACCTCGTCGCACCGCTCGCCCAACACTGCATCTGCATCCTCGTCGTCACAGCCCTCGCGGACACGCGAAGAGTCACGCCGGCGGGAAAAGGACAGCCCTCGCCAGACCACCACCTCGACCCGAGCCCAGCCCGGCCATAGTCGCTCTGCCACTGCCATTGGCCAGCCGCCCGTAGGAACCAGCTTGCCCCGTGAAGAGAGCGCCGTCATAAATCGCATCGTCGTCTCCGACACCCAGGACGACATCGCCCGCGCACAAGCACGCCAAGGAGACGGCCCGTCCGTCACGGCTGGCGCAGATCTGACTCCCATCACCGGACTCAGTCTGGTCGGCAGCGAAGGCGTCGATGATGGCGGCCGCGGCGGAAGCGGCAGCGGAAGCGGAGGCGCAGTAGGAGGAAAGAGCAGACAGGACCACTCCAAGTCGGAGAACGCGAAGCGATCCAAGTTTGGCAACTACATCCTCGGCCAGACGCTTGGCGAGGGAGAGTTCGGCAAAGTCAAGATGGGCTGGAAACGAGACAGTTCGGTCGAGGTTGCCATCAAGCTCATACGGCGAGAGACCCTGGGGAGCAATTCGAACCGCCTCCAGAAGATCTACCGCGAGATCCACATCCTTCGCGGCTTGGACCACCCCAACATCGTGCGTCTGCACGAGATGGTCGAGACTGAGCGCCATATCGGTATCATTCTAGAATATGCTTCCGGCGGAGAATTGTTCGACTACATCCTCAACCATCGCTACCTGAAGGACGGCCCAGCGCGCAAGCTCTTCTCCCAGCTCATATCTGGTGTTGGCTACCTCCACCGCAAGGGTATTGTCCACCGAGACTTGAAGCTCGAGAACCTGCTGCTCGACCGCAACAAGAACATCATCATCACCGATTTCGGATTCGCAAACACGTTCGACCCCAACGACGAGCTCAGCGAAGAGATTGAGTATAGACTCGGAGACAAAGACTACATAAGATCTCTGGGACTAGAAGGAACCGACGCAGCCCGCAGAGGTGATCTCATGCAGACCAGCTGCGGAAGTCCCTGTTACGCGGCGCCTGAGTTGGTTGTCAGCGATTCGCTCTACACCGGTCGCAAGGTCGATGTCTGGAGTTGTGGTGTCATTCTGGTGAGTTTCGAGTTTCCCCAATCTTGCATCTCGACGCACTTGCTAACCGAATATAGTATGCCATGCTGGCTGGTTACCTGCCTTTCGATGACGACCCAGCGAACCCCGAGGGTGATAATATCAACTTGCTCTACAAGTACATTGTGTCCACACCGCTCACCTTTCCTGAATACGTCACACCACACGCAAGGGACTTGCTGAAGCGCATCCTTGTACCAGACCCACGCAAAAGGGCGGACTTGTTCGAAGTTGCGCGTCACAGCTGGTTGGCTGACTACGCGCACGTTGTTGGCTTCATCACCTCAAGCAACACGAACGCGGCAGAGGCCCAACAGGCGTCCGTCTACTCGAGTAAGCTTCCAGATCCACCTTTCAACAAATGCACAGGCATTAACATGATAGCAGAAGACACGTTCGAGCCGCAGCCCACACTCGCTAGAAGCGCTTCTGTCCGTGAACCCTCGAAGCCGCACGCCGCGCCCGCAACCGCACACGGCGGTCTCCAGACGAAGCGCGAAGCGATCAACCAGGCACCTTCCGAGAAGCCAAAGACCACCCGCGACACCAAGCGACGAACCGTGCAAGTCGAATATGTCGCGCCATCATCGCAGACCGCCCGCGGCGAGGCATCCCCTCCAGTCGAGACAACTCCAAAAGCACGCGGCAAAGAGGCCGAAGTACCACCCACCGATGGATACCAGTCAACTTCGAGCGCCAAACCTCGTTCTTCTGGCACAACCTACAACTCGACCAGAAGGCAGGAGCCTCAGCGGTCCGTCTCTGATTACACAGCTTTCGGGAATGCGCCCCCATCCGCTACACGCCCATCCACTGGTGGAGCTCTAGGCACATCGAGACTACCGTCGCGAGGAAACTCCTACGGACAGCCATCTGTCGCGACCGTCGCCCAGACAAACGCAGAGGGACGCTTCTCCCAGCCAAAGGGCAAACAATACTCCATATCGGCACCTTATGCTCAGCAGCAAGAGCCGTCTGAGGCAGCTGAGCCTCCCAACATCGGTCAGTCGAGCTCGCAGCGAGTGCAGTCTGTACAGGGTCCGCCACATGGCGGAGCTGGTGGCGGGCACAGGAGATCGAACACTGTTTCTTCGACTCTCGGCCGCATGACATCCATGTTCTCTGGTCGTCAGCCTTCTTATACGCAGGATCCCAAGGAGTCATTTACATCCACAGGTTCCTACGGCTACCCTGAAGAGAAGAAACAGAAGAGCTATCCTCCCACTTCCATGGCCGGACCCATGTCCAACGAGGCGGTTTCTTCGACATCTGGCCCAAGAGCAAGCATGGAGTCAAGCCGACGGACTTCTTTCGGCTTCTCTAGGAAGAACACAGGCAACTCGGGCGACAATCCGAAATCCAGCCGCCGCTTCTCACTCCTTCCGTCTTCTCTCTCGAAGACTTTCTCTTCTCAGCGGGATAGTCTACCAGCGCAATCCTCCCACGAACGACGCGGCTCCAGTTCTCGTCCTCGGGCTAGCTCGCGCCCCGGTGGGCCTTTCGGTCGCGTTACGGACTCGAGGTCTCCTAGTCAGAGCACCCAAGGAAGCAACATGCCCGGTCTC